GCTGACGTGTCGTCTTCTATTTGCATTTTCTTACCACAACACCAGAAACTCTTGGGCTTGGGTATGTTAACTTTGGATCTTAGGCAAATTATACAGAAGTCATTGGTGAACTTTTTACATTCATGCATATATAAGACAAATATTCCCAACATAGCAGCAACAAATAACGAGACACGGGTATTTCCCGCTGCCGGCGCCTTCCTTAAACCGCCTGTAAAACCCGTAAATCTTTGACATTGACCGCGAGTCCCCCTTACTGCTGCTCACATGACATCCATAGTCATCCATGCCTCCATTGCCCTCACACAGTTTGGAGGAACCATTGGCAACCTGTGGTATGCGCTAACCATGGTGCCAACATGTCTTCCATCAACAGCAATATTACTCACACATGGCTTCCATAACCAAAGTAACATGGACCATAACTTGTTTGGGTAACCTGTGGTCATCAGACATTCATATTCTTACCATGGTATTGTTGCATACACAGATATGGCTTCCATGGGAAGCCTGTGGTACCATGTCTAGTATGGCTATTTATAGAACATAGAACTAGATTTTATCTTTATCTTATTTTTTTAATGAAGATGTTCTTATTATGAATTCACATCCAGGTATCCTCCAGGCTACTTTGTTCAGAAATACACATTTGATTTCTTCAACTATGCCGGCATTCACCGACCAGTCAAACTCTACACCACCCCCGTAGTGTACCTCTCGGACATCACCATAACAACATCCTTCGAGGGCCAGACAGGAAAAGTAGATTTTGTCAGTGTTGTTGGGGCAATAAGTACAGTACCTAGAGATGATATTTCCATGGAATACCAGTTGTTGGACAAAGAGGGTTTTGTTGTTGCCAGCACAGGGGGTAAGGGATTGTTTGAAGGACAACTGACTGTTAATAATCCAATACTGTGGTGGCCAATTGGAATGAGTAATCAGACAGCATACATGTATACCTTGAAGGTAAGTAAATAATGCATTAACTGCTTCTAGTATAGTCTCCTATGCAGTCACTATTAGTGTTGTCACACAGTGCTCACTCCCCTCTCTGCCTCGGAGAATTTTAAATATTTAGGATGGTTAATAACGTTTGCAGTTTGGCAATCAAAAACTGATACTTCTGTGGCAAAAAAGCTCTTTTTATCTGTCACTATTGTTACAGAATTATACTTTATTTAATTTGTTCTGGACTTAGGGCTTTATTTATTTTACACTGATGTAATCACAGGGGAATAATGACAATATCGTTTTAAAGGCAATATTACTGTTGACTTTATTTATGATACCCCAAGAACTCGTAATTCAAGCTTTTCTGTGCAAAACAAACTGTACTTAAAATGTTATTTTGGTTTATGTCACAACTCCAGGTCTCCACAGTCTCCAGTTCAAAGATGCTTGCAGACGTGTATCGTATACCAGTTGGTATAAGGACTGTCAAGGTTCAAGGCACAAAGTTTTTGATTAACAACAAGCCATTTTACTTCAAAGGCTTTGGAAAACATGAAGATGCTGATGTGAGTTGAGAATACTAGTTACTGTGTTAATAAAACCTTCCTGCTGCTGCTGCTGATGATGATGATTATACTGATGATGACTGTGTTGAAGGCCAGTAATAAAGAGAATAAGGATGATGTTGTGTTGGTGGCATTATTGATAGATTATTGATGATGATAATCGATGATGATAATGGTAAAGATTGCTGATGGTGATGGTGATGATGTTCACTGATGAAGATTATGATTGTAGTAATGATTATCATCATTGATAATGCTAGTGATAATGATTGTGGTAATGATGATGGTGATCATTGATGATGCTGATGATAATGATTGTGGAAATGATAATCATTGATGACGCTGATGATGCTGCTGCTGATGATGATGTTGCTGATGGTGATGATCATTGATGATGATGATATAGATGATAATAAAAATGATCGCGGTAATGATGGGGATGACAATTGATGATGATGATGCCAATTTATGTTGATGTTGATGGTGATTGATATTATAGATAGTTAAAAGTACTGAATAAACAAACTCATTGTTAGATTCGAGGTAAAGGCCTGGATTATGCCATCATCACCAAGGACTTCAACCTCATGAAATGGATGGGAGGAAACTCATTTCGCACCAGCCATTATCCATACGCAGAAGAGATCATGGACATGGCAGACCAACAGGGTATCGTGGTTATCGATGAAAGCCCTGGAGTTGGTATTAATCTGTAAGTAATCTTAGCATGGACGTAATGTTTTGCCCATTTTAGACCACGTGCCATTCCCTAGAGTATCATTTCTTCGTTTAACGGTTGCGCACGAGAAGACACATGAATGCGAATATAACTCAAACAAAGAATCTTATTTTCAAGAGAATGACACGTGGTCTGAAATGGGAAAACATAACGGCCAAGGTAAGGAGGTCTACACTACCACCTTACAAAGTGAAAAAAGTTACCATGGTTACGAACCAGGACCGGAGACCCGAATGCGTGACGCCCGCAAACTATGGCACGGGTTAGCGAAAGTAGTTTTCTTTAATACAACTAATTAAAAATGTTTTCTAATTTTACGAATTCGTTTCGGCGAAATTACTTTTATTGCAAGCCTTGGTTTTTCGAACTTAAGCAGGATTTTTTTCTGTTCGGTCACTCATTATAGAGAACAGTGCTTGTAAATTATCCATGATAACGATAATGTGTAATAAAACCGGGAAATCGTTCCTAAATGGGTATAATCAACGCAATGCAAAATACTAAATAAACAAATAACTAGACCCCAAATATGACAATAAAGTATGCGAAAGAAATAAATATTGACTTACTTACCGTTTACATGGTTATTTCATTGTCGGTACTTTTTAGAGAGAATTATAATCCGGAGTCCCTGAAGCATCACCTTGAAGTCATGGAAGAACTTGTTCGTCGCGACAAGAACAGGCCAGCAGTAGTGATGTGGTCAGTAGCCAATGAACCCAGGGCTGATAAACCAGAAGCTGCCGCGTATTTCAAGTGAGTACGACTTACGATGAATCAGCAATTATTAATGGACGGAAGTGACGTCGTGACGTAATGCACGTTAGGTCTCGCTGCCATGTTGATAGAATAGATCTCTTGCAGTACGTCGAAATGCAGCTAGGGAAAAACAATAAGTTTCCAATTCCCAGGCGATTAAAATTTTTTTGTTTTGTCCTCCAAATCGAGCTGCTTTGACGTCACATGCAAGGGGTCTATTTGACACTTATATTTCTAATTAGCATCCTTTGTCTATAATACCAACATGGCCCCCATATCTTTGTCATTTGACTCTTTCGGGAATGATTAAAAACCATCAATAGAGCCTCACAGCGTAAGTGTTATGTTTTTTTTCTTTTCATTTCACATGTCGTTCCCTTGAGTATTATTTCTTTCTCTAGAAGTGGTCTATAGGTTTATTAAGATATAAGAACAATGAAGCCTGAAATTCCTTGCAAATAAAAGCGCGATGCGTTAAGCTTGTCATTTCCAAAGAAAAACGTTAACATTGTATGTTTTCTACTCCTCAAGGCCTGTGTTTGAAACGACAAGACAACTGGACCCCACAAGACCTGTGACGTTTGTCACTCACTACAAGGCGTGGAATGACCAAGTGGTAAGGATGATGGTCTTTAGGAACTGTTTATGAATTAGAAAAGCTGAGCCGGGGAGACAGCGGGATAAGTGGCACATGACTTTTTGGCAATAGAAAGATTGAAAGAAAGGATTGAACTATTAAACGACCGCTTGGCTGATAAGAGTCAGGGCATGGCTAACTCACAGATTGAACCCTGAAACGACCTCTGGGCTGATCAATGTCAGGGCATAGCTACCTCACAAGTGGAATTGGAATTTTTTTTCTAGGTTTTGAGTAGGGAGGCATCAAGGGAGAGAGGGGTAGGTTCAGAGCAGTGCACACGCATAAGGGATCATTGCATACACTATAAAAAAAGGCTACCAAAGGCACACAGCAGTTAGCTTGCTTATCGACCCAAAGGGATAGAGTGAAAATAGGAAAGCAGGTTGGATGCAACCTCCGTCCCCTCTTTCTCCTATTTTCTCGTTGGTTTTCCTTAAGTCTTGATATCTAGTCTTGATATCTAATCTGTTCGTTTTCCCGCAGTGTCAGTTCGTGGATGTCATCATGTGCAATCGATATTATGCCTGGTACCACGACTACGGTCAAACTCAACTCATCAGCCGTCAGCTGGAGAAAGAGCTGACAGACTGGTATAACAAGTTTAACAAACCGGTTATACAGGCTGAGTATGGTGCTGATACCGTTGCAGGCTTACATATGGTAAGTGCCGAATGAAATCCCAAAAAGATTTCCTTGAAACTGATTTCTTGAAAATCATGGAATGCCATCGTTCACAACGCGCGGTCAATGATTCGCTGATCAAGTAGTTTTCCAGCATTGTTATTGGCTGATCAATGTAGTGTTCAAGCATTGTGATTGACTGATCAATGCAGTGTTAAAGCATTGTGATTGGCTGATCAAGTAGTTTTCCAGCA